TATAAGATTTATTAAGGGCCTTAAGCTACTAAAAGATTATTCTATCTTTATACTTAACATTTTAAGAAAGAATGAGCTATGATTGATAACAAGTTGAATAATGAATTGTGAGGAAATACTTGTGTCTTATTAATAAATAAATGTTGTGATTATATAGTTAAGTTATGTTGATTAATCTTAATGGGTGATGATTGGTATGTGTGGCCTATGGACACCTACCAGTGTGTATGATCGCGTATGACAACAAATTATTTAGATATTCGACTTGATATGCTTAGTGACATCAATGTCATTGTATGCTATTATACATGGTAGGCTTGCATGGTATTATAAATATTAGGTATAGTCTCCTTCATTTGCATCATATACCATAGTCCTCATATGCTCTCTTTTCTTCAATTCCTCTAAAAATAGAATATTCGTAGTTTTTTGTTATTCTTTTTCCTTCAATAGAAATGCTTGTTGGACCCTAAAGAATACATGTTTTGTAAAATATTGTTAAGGATGATATCTAGTCTAATCTTCAACATTGTCCAGGTTTAACCTTATATTTTTCCTTCATGAATCTTCTTCTCAAATCTCTCTATAAATCTCGTTGTAAGAGATTGAAAACGAGAGATATTGGATTTGGTTGTAGGTATAGGTGATGGTTCAATGGTGGTAATATATTTTGAATATTCAACCATGGTGAATTTTTAGGATTATAGGTCTTGAAGATTTCAATGGTGGGAGTGTCAAAAAAAGAAGGAAGGGAACAACATAATTCAAATTAGGGTTAATCCAATGATGGGGAGGGAGATGATAAGAGGTTTAAGTTAAAACTTTGGAGTTAGATTTTTAAAAAGATAGAATTTTAAAAATCGTTGGATGAAAGGAGTTCAAGATAAATTTTCTGATTAAATTTGAACAAATTTACTCTTGATGAGAGATGAATGCGCCGGTGGACAACAATCGGCGCGATGACTATTGATCAAATTCTAGATAACTTATGATATTTAATTTTTTATTTAAAATTAACTAAAACATCTCAGAGAAAATAAAAGAAAAAGAAAGAAGAGAGAATATAAAAATGAAAGAAACATAACTTTTAGAATCAATTAAAAACATATCACTTGAAATAAAATTGTTTTTTTCAAAGTAAATAAAAATTTGATGTGTTGTGTCATTTCATCTAAAGAGTTGACTATATATTAACTATGAGTTAACAGTTAATAGGGTCATTTGAGATTGAAATTTTATGCTTCAACATCATTAAAAAAAAATATCAACCAGAAATAGGAATTTTTAAAAAATTATATGTTTGAACTTGTAAGAAAATTGGATTTATGTTTTTTTATTGGTAATCAATTTTGTTTGTCCTAATCTATCCTAACTTGGAATGCAAGCAAAAGTTTTTGGCCATTTTGGCTCAGACAATTGCAGATGATGGAAAAATGTAGATTTGGGGTTGTAGAATCGATTGTTTTATAGCGATCAATTCATAATTGAAGCATCAAACATACCATTGCATGATTTGAACTACTTAAGCTCGACAGAACTACAGCCTTTATACTAATACATCAAGCTTGGTTTTTTATCAATAATTAATTAATTATTATAGAAACTTATGATGAGATTGTTTCTTTTAACTTTGTTTATTTTATTTACAATGTTAGGATTTGAATTTTTGTTTATTCTATTTATAATGTTAGAATTTAAATCTTAACTCTAACGTAGCAGTTAGTTATTTATCAAAGACTTGCCCACAATGTTTCAATTTGAGATGAGTTTTAAGCATTTTAACCATGTCTGACATTTGCGTTCATTTGTTTTTAGTATATTCGAGGAAACTTAAAGAATATTTATGTTTTTCTACGAAAGGAAGATGCATTCATTTATAAGAAAACAAATGCATATATAAAACAGCAAAGGTCAGACTCTACTAAAGCCCAAACGCATGAAACATTGGCCTAAAGTTGATTTGAAGGATGCCAAACAAACAGAGAAACCCTAAGAAATAGGAAAAGGAACAACAAAGGAAGAGATGATGCAAACGATCATCCATCACAAACCAAGCACGATTCTTCATTGGCTGGCTCAAAGAAATTGATATTCGAGAATTCCATTACATTTAATAATTAAAGTATATTCCATTGCATTTAATAATTAATTTAATATCAAATTAATAAATACTAGGAAAATGATCAAATTTTGTCAAACACATCATTTTCATTATTTTGTTAAGAAAACACCTTAAATACAACTAAGAGAGAATAAATATAAAAAATTGAATGTGGGTTTGATATGGAGCTTGATTTTGAATAATAAATAAAAAAAAATAAAGAATGATGTATCATTTTGTCGTTAGATTGAGATTGAAAAAGACTAAAAGTTAAAGAATATTTGATAAATTGAAGAAATAGATTTGGAAAAGAGAGAAAAATACAGTTAACTTTAATTCAAAAAAAAAATACAGTTAACTTTAATTCAAAATTGAATAAATTAATAAAAAAAGATGGAAGAATAAAGTCAAAAATTAAAAATTTTATGAAATTGAGAAAGATTAGGGCCCTAATTATAAATATACCTCTTTGAAATGTTTTATGTGATCAGAAATATGATGTTTTGTGAGTCAAATGTATGCATATGTTTTAGTTTAAAAATATGAATTGATGATTTGTGTCGTAATTGAAGTTAAAGATGTGTAACAATGAATACCTTATGATGTAGTAAAAGTGTCATGAGCTTTAGAAATTGATTAAAGCATCAAATAAGATGATTTGAATCAAATTTGAATGATTTTCCGAGTCTAAAAATACATTTCATAGACTTAGATATTGATATTATTCATACGATATTGATATCATATGAAATTACATAGTAAATTTAGGTAAACTGAGAAGAGAGTAATGATACCTCTTCTTGATGTATCGATACTGCTCGTGAAGTATCGGTACTACCATTAGAGGATCTAGTAATATTGTTGAGAGTGAGTACATATATGTTAATAATAGCAATTTTTCGTAAGGGATGGACACAAATATAATTTCAAGGTAGGCACCATCAGCAAAATGAAGAACTAACATAAAGAAATTCATATTTCATGCTCACCTGAAATGGAGATGTTATACAAGAATGAAGATATATAGGATGTTACGAAAGATGTAACATTTTCGGTTTTAACTTAAAATGTTACTATGTCCAACCTAAAAAATTGCGCTCTAAGATTTTCAATTGCAATCAATTTCTATTGTTTTTTAGTATTAATATTAAGAAATTTACATTTTAGAATTTCCACGTAGCATCCGGATAGCATGACATTGTTTTTGAGGTTCTCTTGAGGTGCTATACAAGGTTAACAAACAAGGTAGTGGCGAGCCTTATCATAATCGATTATTGACCTGACAAGGTTCCTCCGAGCTAGAAGGAGGTGTATGATAAGATTACACCTTAATTTCAACAATTCTCATAAAGAGAGGAAAGAACAATACAATCACACAAATTGTTGCAAGTGTATTGCTTATTTTTCTCTTCTCCGTACTGAAAACAAAAAAAATTACAGAGTTTTCCCACCCAAAAAAAAGGAATTAATAAAGAATGGCTAAAGAAAGGATTTAAGTTTGTCAACAAAAAGAACAAGCAGTGAATGTGTTCGAAACCCCCCACCTCAGCCAAATTTCTATGGGCCAAGTACTATATTGTATTTAAATAACATAGTTAAGAATCTCTTCACATTTTCTATGATTATAGGATTGGTTTCTTTCTAATACTATTAAATTTCATAAGAATGTTAGTTTTTGTAAATGTTAAGTACTTTTCTGTTTAAAAGATTCATGCGTGCTTGCCAATTATAGTGTCTTTGACAATGGACCAAGTCTATTTGAAAGAAAAGTTTCACTATATACTGATCTTTTTCTTTTCTTAAGCTTCTTTCTTCATTCACTTTCATTTCATGACATAGATATAGGGTTATGACTGTAAGTTCTTAGATTCTAAGATTCCTTTAAGTTCTTATGACCGTAAATTATATTCAGGCTAGGGTTGTGACTGTAAATTATATCCAGCCTGACCTTTTTCACCAAAGATTCTAAGATTCCTTTACGTTCTTATGCTGCATATATCATGTATAATTATCAATTCATCACTGTAAGATGTATCACAAGGTTAGGACCCTTGAATTTAATTAAAATTCTCACAAACAAATCTTCCAAGTTTTACAATACAAAGCATTTATAATTTCTCTTTTCCTACTAACTTCATAATTATGTGGTTGTATGGTTATATATGGTGTCTGAACTTGTGGGGAAATAGTATTAGTATTTAAGGTGTTTTCAACTGATAGAGGTTCAATGTATAACAGTTTTATATAAGGACATATTACTAACATTCAACCTTTTGCTTTAGCTTTTCAACCACACATTATGACTAAAAGATATAAGGATTTTATTCGCAAACATTTCAAATCAGAATCCTAAACCATTTTTAACTATGAAAAAAATGAGTCTAGTTCCTATGGGTTTTTATGAAGCAAAGCTAGGATTCTTCTTAGTTCTTCGAAAAGTTTAATAAACTGATCCAAACCTATAAGTCAAACAGTAAAATTAACTATTATCTCTAAATCTATAATTCTACTTTTTTGAAAATTAATTACTTTCAACTCAAATTCAACTGAAGTCTCAACATGTAAAAAATTCGATATCATAATTTGATAGTACATCTAATCAGAAAACCAACAATCAAAGGAAATTCTAGCTAAATTCACACAATAAGATCAATCCATGCATTTTTTGAATCATATAATTATAAGATCAAACTTGAAAACTCTAGCCTTAAATTTCCCCATCAATTTTCAGCATTAAACTCCCATTTTATTGTCACATTTAATCAAATAATATATATATAGAGAGGGAAACTTTCTTGTACGAAGAAGAACACAAATCTTATCTACGAACATAAGTGCTAGCATAATAATCAAATAAGCAAGAAAAAAAATGAACGATTAAACGAGATCTTAAAAGGACCTGGTGCTAGCAAAATCGTAGAGCTTTCCGGTGCTGGAGAAAATCATCACTCCAACTTCAGCATCGCACAAGATCGCGAGCTCTTTAGCTTTCTTCAACAATCCGTTCCTTCTTTTCGAAAAAGTTACTTGCCTGCTCGTTGAGTTATCGATCCTCCGTATCACTATTTTACCTCTCCCCATAGCTTCAGCTCACCCAGTACTACTCAAACAATTAATCTTTTCTAATTATTCAAACAAAAAAAGAAAAAAATTATAACTCTCGATTAAAAAAGTAAGAAGAATAAAAAAAGTCATTCAAGCAAACAAAAAGAAGAGGAAAAAACAAAAATAAATGGAGTTTTTTTTTTCTTTTACTTTATTTTTTGCAAAAAATAAAGTAAAAATTGTTTGTAGAGGAAGTGAGGAACTGGGAGAAAGGAGACAAACCGTAGTTTCAGAGATGTCGTTTTGGTATTTTTTTTCCTATCATCGGTGGGAAAAATAAAATATAAGGAAAGTTTTTGGGGAGAACGCAAAAACCGGAAGTTTTTCGTATAAAACCGCTAGTGGTTTACAAAGGAGTAAGGGCACGTGGACCAACCAGATTGGCAAAGATTTTGTTAATGGCTTTGATTTGTGAGAATTCTCGTATAGATGACTGACGCGTGGGTCTAGATTTCATCAGACAATGCCCAGTATTTCGTATTTTGGGGAAATTAACAAATTTCTTAGTTTTTTTTAAAGAAAAATCAAATTTGGTTTTATTTTAAAATTTGAATAAGTACATATATATTTAATCATGGATAAGATATTCAGATTTAATTTGATAATAATTTTTATTTAATTAGATATTTGAATTAAATTTTAAGCTGAATTTTATATTTAATTCTTTTTATTGAATTAGATTTTTGAGTTTAAACTATTGATTTAAATTTATACATGAACATTTTTTTTCAAATTGATACTTACAAGTTTTTAATCAAATTAGGGTATCCATTTGAACTAAAAGTCTTATGTACTTAATGAGACCAAAAAGATATATATATATATATATAGGTAAACATCATGTTTAACATCTAAATTATTAGTTTTATTTTGTTTTAGTACTTAAAAACTTTTATTTGTTTTAAAATTATATACCTAACATTTACTTTTTATTTCGTTTTGATACCTCGCCGTTAAAAACTTAACGAAATTGTTACAACATAACACTTTTTTACGTGTAAATTACATCATTCATCACTCAATTATCTTTCACTCCTATTTTGGTTACTGAAGTTTAATTTTTAATTTAATTACTTAACTTTCAAATTACTCCTAACTTAATCACTCTGACTTTCAAATTTATTTTTTTTATTTTAATTATGTTATTAATAAAATAGTAATAAAAATGTCATGTAATAAAAATTATTAATAAAATAAATTAGAGTGATTAAAAATGAGCAATTTAAAAGTTGAGTAGTTAAATTGAATTTTTTTTAACTTTAGTTACCAAATTAGGAGTGAAAAGATAGTTAAGTGGTGAATAGTGTAATTTATCCATAAAAATGTCACGTAACAATTTTGTTAAGTTTTTAACAACGGATTTTCATAAAAAAAACTTTTAACAACGGAGTATTAAAATGAAAAAAAATAAATGTTAGATATGATTTTGAAATAAATAAAAGTTTAGTATTAGAATTAAACAAAACTTATAGCTTATATACTAAATGTGTAGTTTATCCATATTAAATTAAATCTTGAAGGTAAACCCGTATGTTTATTTAGATAAAAAAGAAAAAGTAAGGGAAGACTATCGTTGGATGGAAGCAGGATTGTACTATTCACTTGAGTAGGATGTTGATATCATTAATGGGTATCAAATTCAGATAATATTAAATTAATTAAATTAAATAAAAAGGATTCTGATGTTGAGAAATTAGTAGAATTAATATAGGTAAAGCTTGTATTTTTTAAAAATAATCTATAGTGATTATATGATAATATTTGTATAACATAATATTAGTGTTCGAATTTAAAATCTTTGAAAAATAATATTTATTTTAATCATTGAAAATATTTTTGATGAGTTGAGCCAAACTTACATAGAAGTTACCGAGTGTTGGCAGTGGTTAAGAGCGCGTCTGGTGTCCCATTTGAGATATAAAGCCCAAGTGGGAAGCGTTATGGAACGATATAAATGGTGGATCAGTCCACCTGATTGACGGTGTTCCTTTGCCTTGAATTAAGAGGATTTCTCCAACTATTGGATGCCGATGTTGAATCAAGGCACCGAAAGCTTTCCGATTCTTTTTCTAGTTTGTCGGTGAGTTATTTTAGCAGCGGAGGTCACGAGAAGAGGGACAATTAGGATTCTATGTTTTTCAAATACAGCTCTTTAATTTCCGGTGTTGCTTTTATGTTTTTCGATCAGTTTTTTTGTTGGTTTGGTCAGATATTGATGAGTTTCAATCTCCTTTGTTTAAAATTTTCTCGTAAAGTCTGTGTAGAATAATATTCATATATATATATATATATATATATATATATATATATATATATATTTATCCTTAAAATTGAGAATGAAAATGACGTTGCGGCTACAGACGCTAAACCGACAGGCTACAGAAAGCTGTGTTTTCCAATATATAAATATATCGCATAAGTATTCATTAATCATTTTCTATTTTAAGATTTAAAAGAAGTCAATCAACTTGCATTTATTATAATTTTGATAAAAAATAATAAATTACAATTGGGTAATATTGATCTTAGTACAAATATAAATTTATATAAATATTATTATTTTTCTTCAAAAAATATATTTCAACTGCCAATAAAGCATGAAATAGATATTTGAACTAACTAAATAGTAAGTATTAACAACTAAATGTTGTTGTTTGGTTCTGATTTGTTCACGTATAGTCAGATTTATGTGGGAGAACAAATGGCGATTATGAAAGTGTCTTGAATTTGTTGGATTAACTAAAGTTAATAGTGTTGGTTTAATTCAAGGCAATTGGAGAGACCTTCTCCAATAAAGGCTAAAAAGAAACAAACTCAAAATAGGAAAAAATTAGGGTGTTTGGAATTATAATTTATTAGGCCACTTGTCAACCCACGATCCATTTAATGTTGTCCAATTAAAGAAACTTGCTTGACGTATCTAGCCCACCACCTTAGAATTTTTTTAGAAAAAAGGAAAAATATTATGGTAGTGGGATTGGCACAGTTCCAATTTAGTTTAAGTCAAAGCACAGCCATAGTCATGGAAACACTTTAGCAATATATATAAACTATATTTTAGTATCCCCCCCCCCTCTTCTTTGGACAGATTTTACATCTGTTTTGAAAGAATATATGATCAAATAAATAAATAAATTTTGAACCAAGGGGGTATTATTATATTTAAAAAATGTAACAAAATATTTTTCTTCGAAGACTAAAGCAAAGAAAAAATACTCATATTATGTACTAAAAAAATTGTTAACGATGTTGATTCACGTTAAAAATATTTTACTTGGTACAGTTCCAAATTATTTGAAGTCAAATCACAACCATATCATGAAAATTAGCAATATATATATATATAAGGTTAAGATATAATGTAAAACTATTTATTTTTATATAGATATATGATTGTTGGATGAGTGAAAATAGATAGTTAAAATTGACGTTTTATTTTTTTCAATGAATATCTTCTCATTTCTTACTGTTAATCTTAACCATATATTTTCACTCATCTAATAGTTCTAAATCTGTTTAAAATTAAAAGAGTTTTACATTATGTAACAAAATCATATATATATATATATATATATATATAGGGTAGGATCTACTTACACTATGTAAAACATACACAAATTTATAATAATTGAATGAGTGAAAATAGACGACTGAGATTGATTCCTTGTTTTTTTAAAGTTAAGATGGATCTCGTTAAAACCTTTCTTATATCTCGATCGATCCGTAATTCCACATGATAGTGGAAGTGAAAAAGAGTACCCAAAACTTTATTATTCATAATCAAAATTCACGCCAAAACTACCATCCGATACAAAAATCAACCAAAAACCAATCCCAAAACGTATGCCAAGAAGGAACACCTAGAACATAAGTGTGAAAATGCAACTTAAGAAGAACCATGAACTACGGAACAAACAATATGTTCGTATTTTCCCCCTTCCTTAGACAGATTTTACATCTGTTTTGAAAGAATATATTGATCAAATAAATAAATAAATTTTGAACCACTGGGTTATTATTATATTTAAAAAAACGTGACAAAAGAATTTTCTTCGAAAACTAAAGAAAAGAATAAAAAAATACTCTTATTTTTTTTTGTATATCCAAAGGTATCCCAGGCTTTGCCTGAGACTAATCCCCTGAGGTACTGTCGGGCACGAAGGTGAGGACCTCTCCCAAGAAAGTAAAAAAAAAAATACTCTTATTATGTAGTAAAAAAAATCTGCTAAACTCACGATATAATGCTTTCAAAATAAATAATTCACGAGATAATGCACTCCCCATATTATTTGCTGAAATAGGGTGAAATCCACAGTGTGGCCGTAGGACGCCATGCCTTCCGGGCGACCTACTACGTCGCCATGCCTTCCGGGCGACCTACGTCGCCATGGCTTCCCGGGAGCTGCACAGAGATAATGGACGTCTACATGTGCCATGCACGTCCCCAACACCCAACACAGGTCGCCATGCACGTCCCCAACACCCCAACACAGGTCGCCATGCACTCCCAGCGACCTTGTAGGTCGCCAAGCAGTCCCGGCGACCAAGCTTAGGACCAAACTTATCCCTGCTTATCCCTGCTCGCTGGCGACCAAACTTAACCCTGCTCCCTCGTGCATGCGTTGCATCCACAGCTGGGAGATTCATGCATCCATAGCTGGGAGATTGTAGCCAAGCTTTAACCCTCTGTTCCCTCATGCATGCGTTGCATCCATAGCTGGGAGATTCCTGCATCCATAAGCGTTAATTTAGCTGCTAAATGCAAAAAATATTGCTGTTGAATTGCAGCCCTTCAACGCTCAATAGTTACACGATTCAATGCTCAATATTATTTGCTTCAACAATCAAATTTAATGACGCTCTCCAACGCTCATTTTTCTTTATATAGAGGATATGGGGGTTTAGGGTTTAGGGTAAAAGCAGAAGCAACACATATAGAAACTTTATCGAGAGAAATAAAATGAAGAAGAAGAAAAGAAGATAAAGGCTCAAACATTCTTTTTTGAGGTAATTTTTATTGTGTAATTTAGTTTATTATATGAAATTATTAGTTTGTTAGCTTAGGGTTTAGGGTAAAACT